TAAGCAACTGAAATTGGATGTGATGTGTCCAACTGAGTTTCTGGGTTCGCTATTCATTCTTTACTATTTATGCAGATAAGTAGCTCAGTGCTTATTTATGATGAACACATCATGAGATGCAGTACTTCCCCCCCCCCCCAGGTCTCCAAAGCGGAGGAGGTCACGGTCTAATTCCCGTACACGGAGATCCAGGCACAGACGATCGCGCTCCAGAGACCGGCGTCACCACTCCCCCCGCGCTCGCTCGCAGGACCACAAGGAGAGAGAGAAGGAGAGAGAGCGACGGCAGAAAGGCCTCCCGCCACCCAAGGGCGAGACACTGAGCAGTGAGTCATCATCTATTTCTGCTCATATCTGTTCAAGTATATTGACTTTTCATGTTGGTGCAGTACGTTTTGAGTAGCTTTCTTCAAATATTGTGATTTTTCTCATATTGGTCGAAAGTGATTTACATTTTTAAGCTCATGTTCACATTACTTTGTGTCTCCTCAGTTTGCAGTACGACTCTGTGGGTGGGCCAGTTGGACAAGAGAACACACCAGCAAGATGTCGCCTGTTTACTGGAGGAGTTTGGGCAGATAGACTCCATCAATGTAAGCGGACTTCGATCAGTTACATTGATCCAAATGTGACCGCATCCATAAAAATGTTTCATTCAAAGATGAGAAATAGATTTCCGCCCCCCCCCCCTCACCTGTCATCTTCTCCTCCCTTTTTGAAGATGATCCCTCCACGCGGCTGCGCCTATATAGTTATGATACATCGACAAGATGCCTTCAAGGCTCTGCAGAAGCTGAGCAGAGGATCTCATAAAGTGAACCAGAAAACCATCAAGGTGAGTCTTGAGTACTGTTCAGTAAAGCAAATCAAAGAGAACATTGAGAATGATGTCATTGAGTCATGTTTTGTTTATTTCTTGCCAGATTGCTTGGGCTTTAAACAAGGGCATAAAGGCAGATTTCAAACAGTACTGGGACGTGGAGTTGGGTGTCACCTACATACCGTGGTCTAAGATCAGAGAGGCTCAGTTGGAGGAGCTAAAAGAAGGAGGAGTTCTGGATTCGGACACCTTATCACCAGGTAAAACTCGACAGACACTGACGCGTAATGACATTAAAAACAAATAAACGCACATACTGCAACCACGCAGAGTTTATGTGAAGCGGGTCGTTGTTAACATTTCAAACACTTCTGTACTACACTGAACATTTTCGCGAAAAGGCAACAGGTCTCAATAGGTTAGAAAAAGTAAAAATCATCTCTTGTGCTGAATCTTGAAATACCACAACACCTAGAATAACAAACATTTAAACTGATGCTATTTAAAACATTCATATCATGGTTCATTGACCAGTGTGCATCGTGTCTGTCCTTCAGAGTGGAGTGAAGCGAGGAAAACTATTGGCACCCAGGAGGAAGTCACACACAACGGCCGTTCAGAGCCACAGCCGCCTCAGGAAACACAAGTTCTACCTGTGGCTGCTGCGCCTCATGCTCAGGTAAACAACAACAACAACAACAACAACAACTGCAATATGCACCTAGCTTAAATGTATGAAGGCAACTTTTCAAATTGTATGTCAAGCTGCTATATAATACAAGTGGTAGCTTATACTAGGGCTGCTCGATTATGGCAAAAATCATAATCTCGATTATTTGGGTCAATAATTGATATCACGATTAGTAAAAACGATTATCCATTTACTTTGAAAACATCAATTTATTGGAGAAAAAAAATGTGAACAGTATGTTTTTAACAGTTGATTACCCTGAACTTTAAATCAACTGAAAAACCAATAATAAAAAAATAAAAAAAGTAATAATAAAAAAATTATTGTTTTATTTCGATTATGTTGTTTTCATAATCGTTGAAATCAAAAATCGTAATTGCAATTAAAATACGATTAATTGAGCAGCCCAGGGTTGAGAGAGTTACTATGAAAATATAATCCATAAAAAAAGTCTGTGTAGTTTTATATCAGGATTGGGGTCTGATAGGCAAAGTTTATTAACATTTATATCATCATATCACACAATAAATGTTCTCTAAACAAATGATTAAGTCCCTTCTGATGGAATTTGTATTTTGAGGTCCATTAATGGTCTTAATGTCACTTTGAGGATGGTGGAAAAACAGATCATCTACCACCATATTAATGTAATGACAGTGAAGATGGTGGTAGATGAGAGAAGAAAAATGTGGATGTAGAAATGGAGAAAGAGACAGTGAGGAAGGACAGAGAGATAAAGAAGAGCCAGTAAAGATACAAGATACAAGAGGGTGTGGAAAGGGAGAAATGGAAATGAAAGGACGATGAAAGTCAAGCAATTAGTGACTGAAAAAGAAAGACAGAGGAACACAAATTGATATATGGAGGAACAGAGGAACAGAGCAAAAGATTAAGAAGCGAACAGCAGTGTTAGATAGAGAGGTCAGAGGGGAGGAAGTTAGGATGCCAGTGTTTGGGTCTGATGTTTAATCTGACCCAGACATCATTAATCACACAGGGTTAGAACAGACTAGAAGTGAGTAGAGCTCAGATAACTGGAAGAGAAGTAAGCCAGGAAATTCGGGGAGGATCCATAGACACACACTTTTATGCTTTTAAGTGATGGTAACTGTTACATCCCTCTCTAGGGGTAGAGAGAAGCAACGTACACCAGTGTAGAATTGGTAAAATTATAACTGGTTTATTCTAAACAGCAGAGGTAAACAAAATGGCAAGCATGCAGCCTGGAACAACAAAAAAGCCAAAAGAGCACACCAAACAAAAGGAGGACTCAAACAAAAGGAGTCTATTTGCATACAAGGAAATAACACTATCACACTAATAAGAAACTAAAGAAAACCTCACTTTAAAAGTGGTACAACTAACACAAGGAATCTATACAAAAACACAGCTAAACTAAAGGCAACAGTCACAAAAACATAAACTACTCCAAACACTGGATTAACAGAGCCCGTGCTCCAATCACAATCCCCAGGGGGCGGACCAGGAGATGGCAGCCAATGACGTCAGGGCAACCGCACAGCTCATTTACATATCAACACAATAAAGACGACCCGGAAGGCAGCAGCCGTAACAGTAACTCAAATAGAAAGCAGAGATTGACGTGCAGGGACACACCAACTAACAGTATGCACATGCAGTATCGCTATTCACATTATGGCGTACACACAACACACTGTGAAATGTTTTCTCACACACTCAATCACACACGCACTACACTCTCCAGAGGGAGCAGGAAGCGATACAGGGTAATTAGGTCTTGCTTGGTCAGGAGTTTTATTGGAGACTGGGGACTAGTCTGAAGCAAAAGCCATACGTCTTCACAGACTAGCTTTAGACAGAGTATACACAAACAGAGCAAGGATGTTCTTTAATGTAAGGCATACTGTAACAACAGAAAAGACTGTTTTAGGGATGTACCAAGAGTTCAGATGTCTTCAACTTTGACCCGAGCTGACACACAGATGAAAAAAATACTTATGATTGGTTCTCCTGAATTCACACGACCGAACAATTACAATTTGGCCTGATAATAATAATAATTATGATCCGGGCTGCAAAGGTAAGCATAAAAGGAGTTGCCAGGTGTGTTGCAGAAACACTGTTGGAATCAATCTACTGCTAGCTAGGACATTTGTAATAAAATCTCCTCCAATTTGACTAGTGCCATGTTTAGGGTTGGCACTAGATACTTTTTTAAGCAGCAACATAATAATAATAATAATAATAATAGCAAGACTACTGTAAAAGGTCTAAAGTATGATATTAGCACTGTGAGTCTAAAGTTAATGCTATTGTCGACATGCTAACAATAACAATGCTAATGAACGCATGGCAGACTTACGTTTTTAGCAGCCAGCCTAGGCTCATTTGTAGCTTGTAACAAAAAAATAAGAAAGGATATATATTAGGGATGTAACGATGCCAAAAACTCACGGTGCGATAATATCGCGATAAAAAGTCCACGGTACCATATTTATCGCGATATTAAAAAATAAAGAAAAAAATGTGATTTTTCTTTCTTTTTTTTTACTTGAATTTTTTCTGAAATCTGATTTGTACAGCATTTTATTAGGATAGTAGTATTTTAAAGTGTCAACAATATAATAATCAGACCCTGCAATAGAATAAATCAAGTTTCACTTTAGTTTTTCAAGTAACTCAACTCTAACTCACTAACTCTCTCACTCACTCAGCATCATCAAGGTTATCTTTTAGAAATATGAGCATGTCCACATTTCCAGGTAGAAGCTGGGATGTTTGGGCATTTACAATATCCCCTGCTGTGGAAACAACCCTCTTGCTTGGTACTGATGTTGCTGGGACAGAGAGATATGCTTTGGCCATGGGTGACAGCAGTGGGTCAAACTGTGCATTGTCTCTCCACCACTTCAAAAACAATACAGTTTTTGCCAAGAAGGTGAGGCTTATTGACAGGGAGAGATATAAATAAACTGTTGGTACTTGTCAATGTCTCTAGGTATGTACATGTAGCCCTGTGAATACCATGTCCTTTTGTGTTATCTGTTGTTTTGTGTTCATGTTGTAACCTACTTGCTGCCATGTTGGATA